GGATTTCCGCCAACTCCAGCGAGGTCAGCCCGGGCGACGTGGCGATATGCTGCATTGCAGCCATAGTCGGGACGCCGATGGTTAAAGATTCGAGCCGTCGTAAGCCACAGACAAGGAGGGAAACAGCAGCATCGGTTTGTTCTGATCGGGATTGGAAGGATACCGAGACATAACGGAGGTCGGGACAAGACGTGGAAAGTGTGGAAAGGCGGGAGATGTTGTGATTAGTGGTTTCGCAATGAATTTTGATCTCTTTCAACCCGGGAGGGCAAAGTATCCGGATAGGAAAGACGATCGGATCCCTGAAAGGCCATGCGAATGTTCTGAGGTTAGGAAATAAAAAGCCGCCGGGGCAACACTCGCTGAGGGCCAACAGAATCTCCGTCACTCCGCTGTAGGGATAATTCAATGACAGGACTTTGACTCGAGGAATGTAGAGGAGGACTCTGGTCCAGTCGCTCGCAAAGAGAGGCCGGAGCATGCTCTAAAGGGAGAATATGGTTAATGCAATGCAGGACAACGAAAAAGAGGACAAAGAAACCCACCCAAACACGAGTATAGTACGTACTCCCGAGCAACGGGGGAAACAGATCTGCGGGAAAGAGACGTAGGAGAGGGGTAAATCCAGATTGCTGTCTCCAAAGCATATCAAGTGCAGGACCATTAAATAGTGTGCAGGTTCTTGCAAGGGCAGAAAGTGCCACCGCGCCACGATCCGATGGCGACATCCAGTGCTCGTCTGCCATGGGATCAAGGCTGGTGCAAACAAGATGGACGATTTCTAGAATTCCCAGACAGCGATGCATGGTGAGAGTATGGAGGCGGGTACCAGAGGTGGCGGTAGTAGAAAGCAAGGTGAAAAAGTGCACGTGACGGAGTGGCCACATCATTGATGCGAAGCATCGCCACAGAACACGCTTGCTTCGTACCACGACATCCGCTTTCTGACCCGGGTGTTTCTCGACAACTGGTTTGGATTCTGATATTCACTAGGCTATCTTATGGGTACACAGTCTCACGTGAGACAAGCCAACCTGCAAATTGCAACCGACTGCTTTGCGCCGTGCGGCTTGGCTGTGGGCCTGCGGCCGCTTGCAACACTTCTCCGGTGTAGTTTACAAACGGGTGTCATGCATTATCCCCGTGGACAAACCAAATCAGAAACACCTCATTATCTTGTCCGTCCGCAATACGGCGAGTCTCATGGTTTCATCCAGATACACACATAAAGCTGTCAGTGCCGTAGCACAGGATGTCGGTTTTGTTCAAAAGGCCGACGAGGATACCAACACACCGCAAAATGCCAGGTGAGCCTACAATGGAGAGCAAGCCTACCAACTCCTAACTTGATGAGCCGCCAATAACAGAGTCGATCCTTGGTCCCTGTCCGAAAGCGATGAGAGTTGGGACTCGAAGGTTGTCCATTAACCCTAAATCTCCTTCGGTGGGAGTTTGCCTGATTGACGGTCTGCGGACTGAGCTTGAAAGCACAGCTTTTTTTTTCTCGTTTCCTCACTGTGAGTCAACTCTGTTTTGGCTCGTCTTTTGAAACGACCACCTCATTAACATACAGATTAGTGTGGGCAAACTAATACGGGGTACATGTAGACCACCTGTGGAATTTATCCCCCATTCCCCACCAAAAACAACCTATAAGTAAAAACACACTGAACACCCATCAGATAACGGCACGCAATTAGATCAGGAGGTTCCGAACCGAAACTTCCGACGTCGCTGAGTCAACGACATATAAAAGGAGGTGTGATTCTCGAGGGTGCTTCCCACCCTCGCACACATGTCCCAGTACTCTCATCTCTCTAAACCGACCCCGGAGCTCGTTGCGTTACTCTCCACAGCAACACTCCCAGACTTCAGCGGCATCAGCCCCGCAGACCTCCCAGCTTTGCGAGAACAGGTACATGTGGGAGCGGTTCCTGGCATGCTGGAGCGATACCGGGCACGCCTTCCCCCAGGTGCGCTTCATCTGGTCGACGAACAATTAGCTGATTCTTGCATGTCAGACTCGACGTACGCTGTTCAAAATCACAAGCTTGCAGTTGAAGGTGGAGAAATCGACGTCCGCGTTCTAACGCCGACGTCTGGAGAAAGTACCGCGACATTCCCAGTTCTCGTCTGGTTCCATGGCGGAGGTACGCCAGTGGCGTCTTCGTGTCGGCCTCCGTATTGAGCCCTTCGATTACTTTTAGGCTTTGTGTTCGGAAACCTCGACTTTGACGACTTCCAGCTCCGCATCCTATGCGTCGAGCGTCAGATCGTGATCGTCAATGTGGATTACAGGTTCAGCCATTACTTATTCCCTCTTTGTTGGCAATTGCTCATGCCCGACTCAGACTCGCCCCGGAGCATCCCTTCCCTGTCGGCGTCAATGACTCATACGCCGCACTCAAATGGGTGCGTGGCCCCACTAGTATTTATTTACATCGATAGCTTGAATCTGTGCAATGGTTCAGACGCTCGAGAACGCCTCAAAGTTTGGCGGCTCACTGGAAAAGGGCTTCGTAGTGGGCGGCCTCTCCGCCGGCGCGAACTTGACCGCAGTAACTGTTCATCGCGCGCTTAAGGATCCGCTCTTCGCTGCCTCGGGCCAGAAGAGTATAATCACGGGGCAGCTCTTGCAGGTGCCAATGTTGCTACACCACGAGGCGTATCCTCCCGAGTGAGTTGTCTTGCGTAGAGCAAAGTGACCCGGATATTGATTAACCTTCAAAGGTATAAAACTGAGCTCCTCTCCTACGTGCAGAACAAGAACGCGCCGAGTCTGAATGGGCAGATGGCGGAGCTTTTCCTCAGTGCGTACCTTCCTTTGTGCATTCTTCCTCCCGCTGGCCCTCGTCCGTTTGCAAACTCACTCCCAACCCAGAATGCTACGCCGGCCCAGCCACGCACCCCGATCTTTCGCCCCTTCTCGCCATCACTTCCGACCAAGCGCTCGCTCCCCCGCCGACCTATATGCAGATCTGCGGCATGGACCCCTTGCGGGATGAGGGTCTTCTATATGCGCGCCTCCTGCGCGAAAGAAATGTTGAGACCAAGGTCGATATGTGCGTCCCACTTACGCTTTACCTACAATCCCACGGCTATGAAGGGATGATGAGTGATCTGACATTTCGAATAGATACCCCGGCCTACCGCACGGCTTTGTCCAGTCCTTCCCGCAGCTTCAGAAAGAGGAGGCGAAGTGGGATGCCGACATGCGTGCAGGGTTGGAGTGGATTCTGGGGTTCGCAAAAACGGAATGAGTCTAGCAGAGTATGTAGGACGGAGAGAAGTGTGTACGATAGATACCATTGAACGAACGCAGCAAAGATTGACTTTTTTGCGCTCGCTTCTACCGAGCCTTTGGCGGTGAACTTACTTATGGAAAAAATATGCATACAAATTTTGCAGAGTGCAGTGCCCCTGAGCTGCCAATCCCACTGGCCGTGTTCCGGTCAGTCGCTGCAGGCTTTTCTCGCCCGAAATTCTTCGAACCTCAAATGTCAGGTTCGGGTCGTCTCGCCTCGATTTGATCCGCATTCACATGAATGGGCGCCTATTTTCTCTTCTGTTTCTCACCACCACGTACCCACTCCAAAGTCACTTGAATGGAGACCAAAGAAACGGTTTCTGAAAGATGTAGGTATTCCCCATCGTTTAGGACTCAAACGCATTATATTCAACCACGCAGTCAATTCCCCGACGCAGACGTCACCTTCAAATCTTCAGACAGCGTCCTCTTCCGCGTTCATCGAAAGAATCTCGAGGTCTGTACCGAAGGATTCCCTCCCGCAGACATATCGACCCAAGGCCAAATCGTGGATCTCACCGAAACCTCCGTTACACTGGAGTTGCTCTTCCAATTCATGTATCCTCACCGTCATCCAGCGCTTGATACGACACCCTTCGAAGTCCTTGAACCTCTCGCGGAGGCGTCCGAAAAATATCAAGTTTTCCCGGCCATGAACATCTGTCACATCCGCCTGAGGTGCTGCTATTCCCCCAATTTCCGCCGTCGGTGCTGATAATATTTTCCCAGAGATATGGTCAACGAGCACCCGGTGGAGGTCGCTGTATATGCTGCGAAGCACGACTATCCATATCTGGTTTCCCAAGTCGCACCGATGATGATCAGCATGAATCCGGTCACAGTGGTGGAGATGCTGCCGCCATATCTTGTGGTCCCATGGGTTCGCATTTCACAACCATCTGAATGTTCCCTTTCATCTTATATTGCTAGATCCGTTACGTCCAGGAATGGACAAAAGTACTACAGAATACCGCCCTTGTCCTTGGGTACAGCGGCACTCGCCATACGAATTATTCGAGTTGCCAGATATGGTCCCTTCTGGCCTTCACCTGTATACAGCGTCTCGGGGCCGGCGTCCAAACTCTGCGCTCGCTGGACAACGTTTTTGACGCCTCGAAGCAGGATTCAATTTATGATTGCTGTAAAACCGACTTGGATGCGTGGCGCAAACGCATCGAGGATGCAATCTCTGAGATCCCGAAATTCAGCTCCTTCTTGTAGCAGATTCCATTTGAATCAGATTCGTGTCATGTATTTCTGTCACCATTCGTGTCTTTGTCGACCTCACCAGAGAGTCCATCCTCCGCAACATTTTCCCGATACTAGAATTCAGATCGGGATGGGCCGGATGGCAGTGCGGTCATTTTTGGTCAAGGGTCAAGCGTCACTCCCATCGGATCATAGATACGGCTCATGGAAATGGGGAGATCAAGTTAGCGGACCTTCAAAGCCCGAAGGTGAAAACTTCGCGGTTCTTCGATTCAGCGAAATAGAAAGGAAGTGAAATGAAAGACGAAAGGGAACTTATCGCTCCACGGGAGGTCCCAAGAGCCCAGTCCGGGTGACTGCGCGGGGAGAGATATCGGGAAGAGTGATGTTAATTAATACTCAAAGTTGAAGGTAACGCACTGTCTACAGCAGTAACGATGCGGCAACGAGACGAAGCAAAAGTAAATAGAAAGTGGCAAAAGAATCCTTCCTACCTGGGTCGAACAGGTGACATCGAGATAACAGGGAACCGTTTACAGTCTCGCGCTCTACCAACTGAGCTAAAGAAGGGATGGCAGTCTTTCTCCTGCCGCAATACTGTGTCCGCAAGCTGCCAGAATTTAGCGGCCAATGATTCAATTCTGAACCCAACGTTTCAAAACCTAGCCAGTATCGACGATGTACATAGCGGCAGCCAATTCATTACCGTTTAAGAATGTCCACCTCACTCGCAGCGCCGCCGTCAAAGCGCGCATGGGAATTTGCGGGCCAATCCTCTGCGTGACATGAAGTACGAACTGTACGATTCCCTGCGACCGCTTCACAGTATCACCAGATGCGCCAACGAGGTAGTCAATTATGCGCTGGTAACTAGATAAGTAGATAGAGATTAACTAAATGAGGGTCGGAGGCATAGCACGATCTCATGAAACGGCCCGTGCCCGCCTGTTCAGCCGTCGTTCATGGGCAAGCTGTATCAGCCGTTTGAAGTCGCTAAAGGTTGTGTCATTACCAGTCAGATTCGTATCGAAAGGCGACGCACTGGATCATAATGGGTTTAACCATAATCTCATCCGCCCCCGCATCCCGATAGCTCTCCTGATCTTCCGTCAACGCATTACCTGAACGTGATTTAGCATTCCGAGTTGATAGGGGAACGACGAGACGAACCGGTACACCCGACAATAAAGTCGTCTCGATCATGCCCCCGGATCTCCTTCACGGCGTCCTCGCCCGTCATGATGGGCATGAAGTTATCCAAGCAAACCAGGTCGTACGTGTGTGGCTCCGCCGTCAGCATCATGTCAACGCACTCCTTCCCGTCCTTGGCGGTGTGTACGACGCACCCAAGTTTCGTGAGTAGTCTAAATGTGCCGATCAGTAAAGCGCTAAGGTAGAGCGCGATAGCAAATACTTTGAAGAAAGAACACGGGTCACCGCATCATCGTCCACGACCAGGACGAGGAGTGGGTCAGCGGATGGCACAACGGAGGCTAGCGGCGTCATCGGTGCTGCTGGCGGTAGCTGTGGACTCGACTCAACCGTGTACTGAGGCGGCATTGCTGGTCGTGGCACAGGCGATGCTGGTAATTCCTCCATAGCTTCAGTAGCCATGTCCGGAGTCGGCGAGGCCCGGTCTGAATGTGTCGAGATAATAACAGGACTGGAAATGTAACCCGAATCCTTGTTGGGACGGCTCCCAGACGCGTGCGGGAATATGAGGGTATTGGCATCGCGCGCAGCCTGAATTTGAGCCGCAGTGGCTATGGGATATCTAGGACAGGATGTCATCATAAGGGTAACGCAGGCTGATCTTGGCAACGTACGAGAGCTCTATCCAGAATTTTGAGCCTTCGCCTCGTCGCGAAGTCACACCCTGAACGCTATCAACGACAACGCACTGACTGGAGGCAAAGGAAAATTACCAGTCGTCCCCGGCTCAGTCGGATGATTTGCCTCACGATAGCCAGCCCCAGTCCGGTTCCTGCGAACGTGGTTAGTTCAGCGCAAAATAGCTGAAATCCAGTGTTCTCGCCTGATCCGCTGGATTGCCCAACGGTGGTCTGCACAAAAGGCTGGAAAAGCCTGTCCTCCACCAGATCCGAGGGCTTGATACCTGGGCCGCAATCATGCACAACCAGACGGAAGTTGACACACTCCGTCTGCGGCGCACTCTCCCTCCTCGTCAGCGCCGGAGACCCAGGCCGGGATCCATCGTGACTGTCATCACTATCACGATCCGAACCCGACCCAACGTCGGGAGGCGTCCCCGGCAGCTCGTCGCGGTTTGAGATGCCGAGGAACTCAGTCGAGATGCGGATGGACCCGGCGCCCTCGGGGGTATACTTCACCGCGTTCGTTGCGAGGTTCGTCAGCACCTGGTGCAGGCGCAACTCGCTCCCAAGCACCCAAACCCCTTCGGGCTCTGGCACCCTGTCCGACTGTGCGACGAGCGGGACGGTATCGATCTGTTCATCCAAGGCGCGGTCCAGGCCGAGCTGCCGCGCACCGGTCTGCACTTCGACCTGATCGAGGATAGCACGGATTGAGTGGTGCAGTGGAAATGGCTGGGATTATTCTCTTAAGATGACAGTCGTGAGGGGAAGGGGCGTGTTCATACCCTTGCGATGGTCTCGAAGTGACCAGAGTCCATTTCTACGGAAGATGCATAAGAGAGGGCTACGAAGATAAAACAAAGACGCACTTTCGAAGTCCAAAACATCATTCAAAACCTAGCGAGGACATAAAAAATCAAGTCAATGAAAGGCACGCTCGACATACCGTTTTCATCATCTTGAGGCCCTGCTCCAGCGCATAGATTTCGGTGCTCTTGGCGTAATCGTCTCTGAACGCGTTGCCAGATTGCAGAAGCTGGAAAGCGAGGACTGCGTTGCTACCGTCAGCTCGAATCAGGGGTAACCAATTATGGTTATTGACGTACCTGCGTTGTTCAGCGGCACGCGTACTTCGTGGAAGATGTAATTGGCAAATCTCCGCTTGGTGAAGCTAGCCTTCGCCTCCGCCAACCGCGCTTTGTGCTTTGCCCGGAACGCCTGCTTGAGCTGCAGCGCCAGGATGAACATCCTCCTCCTGGAATTCTCCATTTTATAATTCAACCCCTGCATGAACATAGAGAACACGAGCTGCTCGCGGATGAGCCGGTGCGGGGCTGAAAATACGGAGCCGACGCACGAAACTGACGACGTTCCGCGCAAAGACGGGGCTGATCGGGATAACCAGCACCATCAGCAGAATGAACAGGGCGACCTGGGCGATGGCGTTGTACAGCCGCTTCGAGACAATGAACATCATGAGCGCAGGAAAGCCCGTGGCGTAGTACACTGGGGAATTGCATTAGGCAGAGCGACGACGTGGACCATTCGCGACTCACTCGTAACCAAGAAGGGCTGGGAGACGTGAATGAGATGCATGGGAAGACGGACGAGTGGTGCTCACCTTATTATGGCAATGATTTTGCGCGGGGATGAAGAAGCCGCATTGCTTCATCTGGATGACTTCCGCAAATGCGCAGTACCATACAGCGACGCAGAACCAGATCTGAAAGCTGACGGGATACTTCCTCGGCATGTCCAAGGCGATCATGAATGGCGTAGGGAGTGTGACAACCGTGAATCCGCCCCACTACCCGGATGGTTAATATTCTGGGTCTGGATGACGACGTGGAATGCTCACAAAGACGATCTATGGGGGGTGAGTCGCGGCCAAGGGCTGTGGAACTCCACGTACCTGGCCGTAAAGAGACCGTCTAGTGCTGTCATTGTTGAGACTGAGGTAGAGCACCCAGTTCAAGATAAGGACTGGCGAGTAATATAAGTCGGACCGAGGGGAAATCAGTACGGTACGCACATAGTGTCGCGGCGCTGGGATCGTCAGGGTAAGATACGGACATAAACAATCCCAAGACTCACAAGGCAAGACGCTTAGTAGAATGCCAGGATTGCCTCTGGAAATCTTCTTCGTGCTCCGGTGGCATCCTCGGTTCGAAGAACTCTGCGACAACCGGCCAGCCGCGATCTATATATCCAGTTAGCACAACACTCACAGGATAGAGAACACCACGCACGCATAACCCATGACCTGAAGTCGCCCTGGTAATCCTGACTGTCTCCACCGTAATATTCCGCCTTGTGCATTCCAAGTCCAGTGCTGGCACTCCCGCCGAGGCCGGAGCGCTGCGAGCTGTCGGATTGGGGCAGCGCAGGCCCACTGGGGCCTATGTGATCGTCGTTGTCGACCACGACGGCGTCCAAAAACGAATCATCGTCTCCGATCTCTGCTTTGACCCTGCTCATCCCACTTACTGACGTCCGGGCCTCGCTGTCTTCGCTACCAACGAGTCGGAAGGTGTCGGGAAGCGAGCCCTCGACAGTTGAGGTGCAAACGCGCCATATCTTGTACACGAAGCCTCCGACAGCGCTGTCTTTGAGGCGGCCGACTGGTGCGGATTGTTAGGGGTCTCCACAAAAAAAACATGCAAGGACTCACTCAAAGGGAGGCGGCCAGAGGAGCTTGGAGCCCGGTCAACTATTGAGTTGAAAGCGAGGTGCTTCTCCGGTCGGTGGATGGGCAGCACAGACTCGGACTTCATGAGGGGGAAAAGACCGAAAAAGGGCGAGTTTCTCCACAACTCTGCACTCCGTGATCAACACGGGATTTGCCGCATTTGGAATTTGCCAACTATGTCATCATGACATAGGGAGGAGATCCGGGCCTGAATCGTGGGCTCGTGGGAATCGGCATGTTTAAGATGCCAAGAATAAAATGGAACTCATCTAGCAAGGGATTGAACGGGGACGATTCGATGTGCGAAAAAAGGGGTATGGAAAACCAAACGTCCTAATAGTCACTGGTGTTCACGAGAGAGAGATGCAAAAAGCGCAGCGTTAGTCGATGCGAGGCGAACGAATTACCTCAGAAAAAAACTAACGCTTGGACGCGAACATCAATCAAGGTTACGTCTGAAGAAAGCAAATTATGGGTGGAAAAGGCTTTTTGTCGCTGCGTCGCACCTAGGACTGGGGTCCGAGTCGAAGAGGCCATCAGGCATGTATCTGTCTTCGATATGTCCCCCGCCTAAAATTCGCGTTAAACAGATTCGCACGGAATGAGGGCGCGGAACTGGTATAAAGGTTTTGTCAGTGGATCGAGTGTGGTGCGTTGACCGAAGCAAACTCACCACGAAGAAAGCGATGTGTGGACAACAACTTTCAGATTGCCAGGGAGTTCTGTCATGAAGCTTAAGTTTATGAGTGGTGCACACTGAATGGACGTGAACGGAAAGAGCGAGAGGCGCCAGGAGAAAATGCGATGTTGCCTGCGGCGATTTGTTTGGACGTCGCATTTGACAATTCAGATAAGGACAGCCAGGTCCTGGGCCGGACGAGAGGAGGTAGATCGGGAGCCGGGAGAGCAAAAACCGAACAGCAGCCTACAAAGCCCTGACTACGAGCGCAATCAATCCCGCTACCATGGTGGCTCTTCGACAGCGGGGTCCGGAAAAATATACTTCTGGATCGGTGCACCGATTCATTGAGACCTCTCTGCGGGAT